GTGCAATCATTTAGTTGAATGAAAAGCCTCTTCTTCTGCTGTACTGCCACTGTATTGCACTCTTTAAAATATACCAACATTTTTCAAATATCTTTTTTCCTCAAAGATGTAGAACAAATATTTCATCAAAATGCAACTGGCTCATTCTTCAATGGTTGACATTTTCACTTGAAATCAGAGCACTTTCACTAAAATAAAAATAGAGTGATTTAACGAAGCTTTGTCGTAAGAAACAATTGACTGTGAACATGGTGACAGGGATCGTCAGGGCTCTCTCTGATGCTCTGCTCTCCGGCAGGGCGAACATACACATGAAGACTACAGAGTAGATGACCGCTCCGCTCAGCATCTCAACAATATGTAGGGGAGGGGGAAAAAAGCATATGATTCTAGAAGAAGCCTTGATAAATTCAGACGAACCAGAGGATTGTTCTTTTCATCAAAAGAACAGTCACACAGAGGAAGCAGCGCGTGGCTTTTAAAATGATACAGAGAACACAAGCTTGCTATTAAGGGGCAGCGGCTTTGTGAAATAAAAGCATTTAAAATAGAATGTAAGGTAGTTTATTTTGAGCACATAAACACAGGCTAACATCTGTAGCATTTTTAAAATAGTCCAAACCGTCACAGGGACGGCTGAATGGTGACAATCCTGTCACACAGAGAAAGAACAACTTAGCCTTAGATGACATGCAACAGACTTGAAAAAAAAAAGTCATAAAGCACAGCTTAAGTTAATGTTCAGGCAAATATTTTTGTGAATAACATAAATCAAACTTACCTGCTCAACTTTAATATTTTATGAGTCACCACGTTTTTACCTCATACGCCATAAAGCATTGTTAATGACACTGTTACTATATGAAATCCCCGACACTGGGGTTAGAGAGTATCTGAGGACGTGCTCTGCAAACATGGCATCTCCTTCAAGACTGTTGATGCCACTATGGCCACATGTGGATTTAACAGTGTGATTCCTAACTCAGGGAATGCTCCAAGTAAAGTACCGGCCTACGTTTAATACTTCACTCCATCTTATACATAAATGTGTTTCCCAAGAGCAGTCTGTCAAGTGCACTGTATGTGTGGGGAACGTGACCAATGCTTGGACCACATTCAAGTGGGCAGAGTTAAATGACATTTCTGCCTCAGTCGCTCTCTGTGGGGATTCATCCACACTCTCCCTGCTGCCGTATGGAGTGCTGACACGGCACCATGCTCCATCTGACCAAGAGCTACACAAGGTAAACGCAATAAAGCAACCTGTGTGTAACGTCCACTGGCAGGAACATTTGGACCCTTGGCGTCCACAGACCTGGACATGTGTTATGGATTTGTTTCAGACGGGTAAAAACATGATCTTAACATTGTTACAATGCACTTTTTTTTACTGATCCACGGCAGCATCACCTCAACCTGTCCAGCTTTGATGAAAGCTAAATGGGCTGGTTTGAGCTTGAGCTTGGTTTCAGCACGTAGGCTATGGCAGCATTTCCCAAACTTTTTTTCTGGGGACCCATATTTTAAAAGTCACAAACCTTCGTGACCCAAGTCAATAGACCTTATTCGTAAACTCCTGGGCAAAATGATGCGAAAGGACCCTTTTGGAAACATTGGACTAGGGTACCGTAATGGTATCTACAGCACCGCCTACAGGGGAGTGAACATTTGAGTGCAAGATGTTGATACCATTACAAATAGTACAAGTCAAAATGTTATGATATTTCATACCGACTGTATGCTCCCTTTATTTTTATTTTTAAATCCTGAACAGACTATCTTACCTCGCTGTTGTGCCCTCTCAGGTTGAAGTTCACTCTCTGTGGTGTTGGCCGGTCCTTTCTACAGTGGCTAGAGGTGAACGTGACTCCGACAACCCCTCGACCATTTCCAGTAGCCAGCCAGCCCTCTTCGTAGTAGCGTTTCCTGCAGACCGGCTTTTCCTTTTCACTCTTGGGCACGCGGCCTTTCCAGGACAGGCACAGGATGTTAGAGTCACTGCAGAGGACAGGGCCGTGCTCCACCGCGGCAAACATTACTGCAGCTTAATGGACACAACGAGAGAGGTCACAGGTTCACCGTGGAGGTTGGTACTGTTATAGTTGACCCTTCTGCACTCAGGTAACCAGTTTGGAGTCAGATGTGAGACAGCCGCAATGATGCATAGCACTGGTGTTTTGAGTTGGGGATTCAGGTGACTCAGCAGGGGTGCATACACAACAAAAGGCACACAATCAAGTCATTTTGATGTGTTTCGTTGGTGAGCTGCCTTGCTGTTGATGCTTCAGTTACAAGGCAACAGATGGGTATGTTGTTGTAAATATTTTAAAGTCCCGTGTGCTAAAATCCTGACGGATAACAGCTGATCAGAAACAAACATCCATGCCAACACACAAACAGGCGAGCCCTCTACTCCCCCACATGACCCAAGGTTTCCAGTTGATATGAGTGTCTGTCCAGTTCAGCATCTCATATCCATAAGAGCCACTTCGTCTTCATACATCCTCAGCTGTGTGAGATCAGTGTCCTCCCCATCAGGTTCCAGCCAGCCTGAAAGCTGCTTCGCTAAGTAATGTCACAACATCTTCTCAACTAACCCCGAAGATCCCACGAAGGACTGTTGGAAAAACAAGAAATAATATTTGTAAGTAATATTCAACTTCAAGAACAACAGTTGCTCTGAAAGCCCAAGTAAACAGTCATTAAAGCATTCATAAAATTATATTATGTTTCTGCAAATAGAAAAAATAAACAATATTATCACCTCAAATCTAACAGTTTACCTGTAAATTGATAAATCCACAGTAAAGAGTAGAAATGGCAATAAAGCAAGAACAAAAAATGGGGAAAATATTTTTAAAGTGTTTTAATAACAACAGTAAAGCACAAAAGAAGAGAAAAGAACGACAGTGTGAATCTAAAACATAATGCTGCTGACGGTCGACTAATGAATGACAATGAAATAACAGTCAGGGACAGGGGACAGTGTCTTTTCCAGGATGAATAAAGCTGGTTTATATGCTGATTAGATGAAATATTATGTAGCAATAATATAACCAGTTGAACGTGCAATTAAAATATAATACAATGGAGTGCAATTGAGACAAGCCAATCCACCCGAAGCCACAATGAGATGATGCTCAGACAGACAGACATATTAGCCACAGCTAGGCTACATCCTGGATGTTGGATCCAGGGTTCTGAGATCCTTTCCCTGAATCAAACCTCAAATCCCATAGGCGGTGGAAAATAATCCCCCATGTTTCAATTACTTTCTATATGAGCGAATGACATCCCCACAGCTGTATATATGGGAAAGGCAGCTGAGATTTAGCAGCCTGTGTTGTTGTTGTTCTACCCTCCACAAAGGAGCAGCCAATGATAGCTACCCGGCTAACCGAGACAGCTAACTTAGCTGAACCCGAATCAACCGTGGTCGGCGATACTGGCTCCGTTCACCCGCTGCTGCTCTCGCTAACAGGCTAGCACACAGTGTTTTTATTGTTATTTTATTCATATTGGCAAACACAAATTAATGACAAGTATAGTTCACTGGCCAGAGGAATGAATAGGTAAACACACATCAAACAGTTCGTCAACAAAGGAGCAGGAACAGCAACAAGGCAAAGAACCTTACCTTAGTCTGCTGCTGCTGCCACCACCGCCGCTGCTGCTGCTGCTGCTGTTTTTGCTGGTGCCGCTGATTCCTCTGGCCGCAGACTGTTACTGCCGCTGATCGCTGGCAACAGGGCCCGACAGCTGAATCACGTGACGGACACGTGATTTTACCTAATTAAATGATTCGGGATCAGACGCATCAAGAGCTACTGTGTTTAATTTTAATCTCATCCTCTTTCTTTTACGAAGCAGGCAGAAACACGTGAGTCTCTATCAAACACAAGCTTTGAACTGAACGTAAGAAACCTCTTATACTGTATTTATGAATTGCTAATCAATGAAAACATACAAGGATTTCTTTACGGTTTCATATTTAGGTGCAGATAGGTTAAATTATTATATTTAGTAAAGAAAAGTCGATTTTTAGCAATACATAATAATTGACATTGTTAGCAAAAACACATTTGACATTGGAAGATCTGTCAAACTCCTGCAGCGTCCAGTAAAATTATTATTATTATTTATCATTGATCTATCCCTAGATCCACCAAGGCATTTAAAAAAACTACATTTAGATACGATGATGATACAAAACTGAAAGGTAATAAATTGTGAAACTAATATAATTTTGGAAAAACAATTAATTTTAGAAAAGTTCTGTATTATCTAAAATTGTTTCATTAATGCATATTAATAAAATACTTGAACCACAAGATGTTAACGATGCAGTAAACACCCCGTTCCACGTGAGGGCAGTACTGTAAATATTTTTCCCTTCTGTTCTTCCGTCTCCAAAAACATGGCGGCACCCGTGGCTTTCAGGCGAGAATTAATTTCTTTGGCAAGGATATTTACACGAGTCTCCGGTTTGGTAAGCATTTTTAGCATTTTAAACTGAATGGCTTATAAAATACAAATGTTTGTGATAGAAAGCTCACATATAAGCTGTCGACGGATAACGTTATTCGGTCATTGCAGCATGGTTTCATTGACATCAGATGTCATCTCTAAATGTCCTCCAATTAACACTCGTATGTTAACAGGGGCCGAGAGGTCGGGCCGCATGCTCAGGGTATAAAACATGTAACGTTATCAGGTAGGTAACATCATTTATTACTCTCCCTCATATTACATTTTGTTTTTTACAAAATAGTTGACCAGCGTGTGATGGAGTGACAACAAGTTGTCTTTATATTGAATAATTCTATTTTTGCCCAGTCTAATGACTAATAGAGTTCTTTTCGAATGTTCCTTTAGTTTTTAAAAAAAGCAGAAATATAATGATATGGTACTACAACAAACACTATTTCCATAGTATTTCATAATATCTCTTTTTATTCTCACACTTTAATTTTAATTTTAATTTTTTTTTTTGCAGATCGCTTCTCCCTCTAACAACCCGCAGTTCCTTTCACACAACAGCCTTTTCATCTAGGTCATCATCGGTATGTTGACTGGTTAATATTATGATGTAATGTTAACTTGACTGCACATCATTATAATACTCAAAATTACAATTTCACTGAAACATGCTCATTAGTTGCTGTCCTGTGCATATCTCTACAGATCACTGTAACTGATGAGCCTGACATACTGTTCCAAAAGGTGTCTGTTTTGGTCAAAGGTCATGACAAAGCCGTCTTGGACAGTTATGAGTATTTTGCTACAATGGCAGCAAACGAGTTGGGGATCACCATTAACAAAGTGTATGTCTAGATGTTGTTGGGCTATTGAACTATAGTGCTGCAGATTTAACAGTGTCTTTTCTCTTTACCAGTTATGAACCGAAAAAGTCAGTGGACAGACTCACACTCCTCAAGTCAGTACACATCTACAAAAAACACAGAGTCCAGTATGAGATGAGGACAAACTACCGCTGCATTGAGGTGAGGAAATGTCTCTGCACCAACTTTAGATATTTAGTTTTTAGACTGATATATGACTTTTGTTATAAAAAAATGTAATGTGTGCATTATGTCTAACATTTTCCCTTCTCTTGTTTTGCAGCTGTCTCATCTGACAGGCTGCACAGCACAGGTGTACCTGGAGTACATCCAGAGGAACCTCCCTGAAGGTGTAGCTATGGAAGTGACAAAGGTGCAGGGACCTGCTTTGGCTACTTCTACATTTATCTACATATCAATGTAACTGTAGATAAGAAAAAAACAAATGATAAATCTCTCTGTGTTTTTATGTTTACTGTTAGACTACCATGGAGAAAGTTCCAGACCACATCCTGGAACCCATGTGGAAGGACCATCCCGTTGATGACAAATGTCACCAGTGAATGCAGTAAAGAGTAGAGAGAATGAAAATTGAGGACTTCTGTGATCAGCTGCAGCACTATTGTATAATATCTGTATACTGTATATTAAGTCTTCACTGTGGTCCAACAAGTTCATGTAGAAATGTGGAAACAACTGTATATATATTTCCCCCAAATTAAATCATTCTACCCAATGAGTGGTGAAACGTTTGTGATCATGTGTAAATGGAGAAAAATCACAGCACACAAGTTAAGTCATACAGGCTATTATTTAATTAGTTTTAAAAAGCAAGCACAATTATATATATTTAAAAAGTTTATTTTTAAGCAAACATTGTACCTCTGGTGTCATATCACTGCTGAAGGAGAGATGTGAGGCTGAACCTGGGCTCCAGAGCCTGGAAAGTAACATTTGACACTTGGGAAAAAAGAAGAAGGGACTGAAGAGGCAGCAAAATGTGCAGAAAAGATGGAGAAGGGAGACAGAGCAGGAAAGGAACATCTGTCTATGGTTTATTTATGAACTGATTCAAAATTAAATATCTGTAGAAACATAGTACTTTAACGACTGATTATTCCAATTAAATTAATAATATAAAGAGGTTTGTGGTAAAATAGGATTAAAGCTGTGTGAACAAAAATGCCGCAGAATTATTAACTGCTGATACAGTTTTGTGGGGGGAAAAAATATATCAGTTGGTTCCCCTATAGAAGTAAGATTTTCATCATTAAAACTGGTAAAATAACTAGAGTCACAGTCATTGTATAATATAGTTAATAAAAAAAATTAAAAATAGCATATAGAAATCTAAAAACCAGGACTTGGATTTTTTTAAAGAAAGTTTTAGTACTTGGTCATATCAGAGTGAATAATGTTTACAGACAATGTTTTCCTTTTAGACATGCTACCACCAAATTTTAAATGCCAAGTTGAGTGTCCTTCAGTCAAATTCACATTTACATCAAATATTTGCACTGTGCTCTATGCAACTTAAAATCCAAATCTTTTTAGCCTTCAGCAAGCCCAAAGAATTATTCAGTAAGATTCGCTGTAGCATAAAATTGTTCTTGGTCCTCCAAACTCTTTGAAAATAACTCAAAAAAATAATTAGCATCTTTGTAGTGGTGTTTATATGGATCAAATGTCCAAGTTCAATTAGGAAACATTGTTATTGTGCATCTAAAAATCATTTGTTCTGTTTCTGGTGTTTGAGACAATGACAACTCTCACAAAAAAAGAGAAGTTTAGTAAATGTTTAAGTTGTATTTATTTTTTTTATTGTTTTCAAAACTATGTCATATCTTGATGGTCATAGAACACATTCACAGTTTCACAAAAGTCCATTAATTACAGTAATGCTGTATATTGAATTGGTAAGATTTCCAAAAGACTTTGAACACAATAGAAAGTAATTCCTTATTTTGAAGCAAATATGACTGGAGTTTGTCGTTTATATAAAAAGCTACTGAATATATATTTAAATTCAAAACTAAATTCAAGTTTCAAACAACATCTCTCAAAGCCTAATGTAGTTACACATGTAGGATATAGCTTGAAAAATGAATACTTTTGGATGTCTCACAAGTGGAGTATTTGTGGTCTGATCATGTGACTTTTGACAAACTAAAATATGACATCATTATTTCCATGTAACAAAGAAGAAAGATAGGGAGGTCCAATGTGTACTGATGTAGTTATCAGTGGTGCTTAAAGGCTGTTATTGCACCTTATCCCCCAACTTCAAATATAAACACTAACTGCACTCCTTTTGTTTCTGAACTAAATATTGGAGAATTCTGTTAAGGCTCAATGAGCAACAGTTACAAGAAAAATCACAGAACACGTGATTAAATCTGACAGTAAAATGTGCCTCTTTGACAACAGAGGGTTCAACATTATTTTAACACTTCTCTGTTTGTTCCACAGTTTGGTCATTTATAATTTTAACATTAATATGATATGAAAATGCCAGAACAATAACATTTGAGGCATTTCATCTGTCCTTATGATTACATCACTATTGGATGATATCAAAACGGTGGACAATGTCTTTATTTTACATCGGCTCTGATTTTGTTCAACTTATTGGGCCGGCTGTGTTTAAAAGCGGCGGCCACCAGGGGGCTCTGGCCACCCCTGGCCGATGCCAGGTGGGGGGTGGGGCGGAGGAAAGACTGGTCCATTGTGGTAGCTGTGTAAAAGGATAAAATCACACATTGGATTTTTGGCAATGGCCAACCATGGGACACTCTGATAAGAGCAGCCATATGAATGACTTTTTAAGACATTTTTAATCCAGTAACCCAAGAAAAAAGGGGGAAAGCAAAGAGCCGAGAATTGTGATATGCCAGATTTAGAGTATGAAATGAGTCATGAAAAAGCTCTTACCCTCTTGGGGTATGGGAGTGGGAGTGGAAGTGATGTGGAGGTCCAGGAGGTAGTCCGACAAAGCCTTGAGGGTAAGGAGGTGGTCCTCCTAAGGCAGGAGGTCCAGGTGGGGGTGTTTGAGGTGGTTCATTCCTACAAATACGGTGACGCAATATAAAAAATAAATAAGGTTAAAATAGAAAAAAACCCAAAACCAAACAACATTGAGCACTTGGCCTATCACAAAACCTGAATCATTGCTACTGACGTAACAACTAAATGTGTTAGTGCCTGTCGAAGTGAAGTGGTTACCTTTGTATGAGTGCAAATGGGTCTCTGAGGTGCATAGGAGCTGGTGGAGGAGGAAGAGGTGGAGGAGGAAGAGGTAGAAGAGGAGGTCTTGCAGCCATTAGCCCACGCCTCTCTTGATGACCTCTAAGGTCTAGGTAAGGCTGCATCCGTCCCATTTCTCTGCAAGAAAAAAGAAGCAGTTATTCATACATGTTTGTGAATCAGGGTTATTTTTATCCAACATCTTGGTCAAATATACACTTCATGTACCCTCCCTGAAGATTTAAAATCCTCTCGTTCTAATAAAAGATGAAGCTGGAAATAATCTAATCTAATTTTGAACGTACCTCCTGGGTACAAACGCATTCATGGCAATGTCCTTCACTTGTCCTCTCCAAAGTCCAGGTGGACCAAATCCTTGGATCGTGCCTTGTACGCCACGCATTCCACCATAAGTCATCTGGCCCACTCGACCACGACCTCTGAACCTTTGAACCCTGGGAAGAAATATGAGCAAAATACTACTAAAAAACAACTGGCCTAATGTAATGTTTTAGAAGATAGACCGATGTCAGGGCAGTACACATGGTAAAAACTGTTGTCTACTCCGTACAGGCCAACAGGACACACCTGAATCTGCTGTCAGTTACAGGATTCTCCGACTGGTTCTTGAAGATTGTGGTAGTTTCTGTCTTCTCTTTTGTGTCTGCATCCATCTGGATAACTTATATTAGCAATGAAAATAAATTAAACACACTAGTGCAGAGGTGTCAAATTCATTTTAACCGGGGGCCACATCAGCAACAGTTCCCCTTGAAGGGCCGGTTATAAATGGAAGACTGTATAGATCAGAGGTCCTCAATCCCCGGACCAGTACCAGTCCATAGGTTACTTGGTACTGGGCCACAGTGGGACACACTGAAAAAAATGTACTTAATTTTTAATATTTTACTTGGACTTTACTTAATGCTTTCTGAGATCATGCGGGCCACGTAAAACGGCTTGGTGGGCAGCATTTGGTGCATGCATTTGTTAGGTATTTTGTTGTGATTAAAAATAACAGAAATCTGAATGTCAAGTTTTTTTTTAAATAGCACAAAAACATACAAGGTGTGGCAGGGTGGGGAAGGGGGGATGACAGCTGTCCAAACCGGGTTAGTGATGCAAATGATGTTAGTTCCAGAAAAAACAGAATTTCAAAGGTTTCTTTAACATAAATGTCAGTTTTCTGGTCTTAAACACCGAGAAAAAATAATAATCCTACCAATCCTGTGTCCACGGACGACACATTCAAATTTAAGTCTCTGCTAACACCGTCTAATGTTGTTTATTACAGAGGGCGCGAATATTGAGCATATCAGGCCCCGACTAATTCCTGAAGATCGCATCGCTAAGTTGAGCTCATACACACTATGCTATGTGCGTGACAGCATAGTCGTTCCAATAATATCGTTAAGTCGTTAATAATATTGTTTCATAGTGTTATTAAACAATTGATATGTGTTGTCAATTAAATACAGCGTTAGGTGTCTGCTGGAAGGGGGCGTGTCTGAGAAAACGATCCGAGGAAATGCAAAGGACAAATTACTTACTTTAATTGGTGGTACAGTCGAGGTAGCTTTGAATAAAAATTAATTGTAACAAAAATATATAAAGTTTTTCAAAAAAAAGAGAAGATGTTTAGAAAACTCCCTTCGGCTTCTGTTCCTACCTTATATTTTAATGGCGGCTCAGTAACTGCCAGTTAAACGGTTGGATTTCGTTTGTGAAACGCACGTTATTTAATTGAACCTGCCTACTGGAGAAAATACTGGTTCCTGATTGGCTGCTAGTGGTTGACATCCAATATTTACATTTTGATTGGATAAATGGTCTGACGTGTTCTACCCCACTTTTAATTTGAAGACTGCTATAATAAGCCGGGCTACGATTTTAACAAGAAATATTTGTTTATTACATTCTGGAAAAGCATACAGTTGTTATTTTTAAATACAACAAAACAGCTGATGTAATATATAAATTAAGCGATCTAAAATGCTATTTAATTTAATGAAACCATACATATTTATGTTTGAAAAACTGCACAAGACACACACGTTTTGGATTTTCCATATTTCTCTTAGTATATTTCATATGATACGGTTTCTAGAAAGGTAAAATCCATTCACAACAAAATACATATCCTTTAAATTTTGGATAGTGTTTCCAAACACTGAAATCATATTCCTGTAAACATAGCATTATATACAAAAGTGCCCATTAAACCATATTTACACAGCAGGGGCAAAAATCAGGAAAGAAGCAGTTTAAATTATAATACATGTTACACCAATCGCTACATTGACCACACTTCAAATGCGTGTAAAGTGTTCCGTTACGCACTGGCCAGGATATCCGACAGTTTGTTGATGTATTCAATGGTGTACTTGAGGGTTTGTATTTTTGTCAGAGGTTGGCCTCTTTTGCTGTAATCCGGCGGCAGGTAGTCACGAAGCTGGTGCAAAGCCTCCGCAAGACTCCTCATGCGCATCTTCTCCCTCTCACTGGCCTTCACGCGTCTTTTGGTGGACATCTTGGGCTTGTGCTGCTTCTGCGGCCCTGGAGCGTGTCTGCCTGGTGTGAAGCCGTAGGAAAAGTCCTTTGCGTCTATGTTACCGCTTCTGGAGGAGAAGCACATCTCTGGAGATGAGCAAATGGAATCCACCGATGGCTCCGGGGATGAGGACTGCAGGGAGTCCATGTCGTCTTCAAACGCGCCTTCGTGGTCCTTCCATTCGCGGATCAACTGGGCCGTGACGCTCTCCAGATCCATGTCAGAGAAGATCTTGCAACAGTCTGTGGAACTGATGACGAGCAGATTCTGTGTAAGAGGAGAATTTGCCAAAGCGGTTTTATACGTTGGCACATCTCCGGAGGTTTATGGGTTCACAGCTCAGGCGGAACAAAAAGAAGTTCAAAGAAACCCACAAGTGACAAACGCAACCTTCACGGAGGACGTCGTTCGTTGTCACTGGGGTGTGAATAAGGCCAAATAGACGGATAATGTGATAGAAAGAAAAATAATTAGATTCCCTATGTGGGACGTCCCTCTTTAAAGTCTGCAGGACGACAATTATCAGTTTGATGCGATGTGTCTAATGAAGACACATGTGAGGGTGAAGGTTCACCTGATATCTTCACACTCCTCTGACAAGTCTGGCCTGCGTGTGTCTCTGGTCTGGACCTTGAACACTGATCAACATCAAATCCTCCCATTTTAAAGTTAACCTGAAGTCAAAGAAAATGGTGCAAAATTAAATTAACATTCAGAGTTCGTGTTAATGTAACCTCCTGGCCACTGCTGAAACATTTAACTTGATGTGATTCTCCTGACTTAAGCAACATCAATCTGTTTGTGCATTATTCAAATGAGCTACTAAATCAAATGTATCATCCATAAACAAACTGAAACTACACGGATAAAAAAAGTCCCAGTATTTGCAACAGGAAAAGATAAGGTTTAAGAGGCAGCGCTGACCGGTACTGAGTTGTTATTTGGGCAGCTGTCACCTAACTCCTGCCAGACCTTTCATGTCTGAAAAGGTGAGTAAGGCCTCACTCCTGATCAAGGGGACCTCCACTAAAGTGTTGTAAAAGCAATGGCTCAGTGTCATCTGCCTGTCAAAGAGCGCTGGGCGAAGAAATAAGCACATGTGTTGTCATTATGTGACATTTAATACATGTGCAGGTGTTGATGTGTAAACATTTCACCTGTCCAATGAAGGATGTGACAAACAGTGAGAGGAAGCTGCTGCTGCTGGGAAATATGTTTATCCAAACAAAGGTTTTCTTCACTGATGTTCCGTAACACGTGTGGTCCAACAGTTGTCTGATGAAGCATTGTTACAAAAAAGGATTTTTAAAAATGATGTGGAGCTCTAGAACAGGGGCATGGAAACATTTTCTAAGAGTATGCCTTCAAACCAAATTTAATTTAGTGCACAGCAAATGGTTCTGTAAAACTTTCAGTGCTTTAATAGTTTTACATGAAGTTGTGAAGATTTACAATTATTGCTATTGTTATACTGACTGGAAAATGTGAGAACCTTTAGCCCAAAAATGCTGAAATATAGAAAGAAAATAAAATGACCAAAAAATGTCAACCAAAAAATAAACGGCAAAAAATGAACAAAAGTTTCATCCATGATAACTAAAATGTAGTTACAATAGGTTAAAAAATAGTATAAGTAAATGAAACATTATTTTCTTGGCACAAATACCCATATCCACAGATCTTATCCATATCCAGGGAAATTTTATTACAATGATACTTCAAATTACAGTCTTAAAAGTTCAAGTCCATCTTGACTGTCTGTGACCAGGACGATCACTTTATGAATTTTAGCCTTAGTCTCTCTGCCAGAGGCAGTGGACTGTCACTGCCCACCACTGAGTCATCACTGTCTAATACAGTGAGGGATGAAGCTGGAGAGAAAACACTGTCACAGTCCACAACAACAGTTGTGACATCCTCCCCTCCTCTGCTTTTAGTTGACACGGGTGTCGTGTTAACGTCAACACTGGGTCTGTGAGATTTGAATCTGAACGGTTGATGACACTCGTTTGATTCCACTGTGTGTTCTCTTGGATTAGACCTGGATGCTGATTTTAAGGACATATCTGTAGTGAACTTCTTAAATGGCTTAATTTTGTTCTTTCTCTGTAGCGCAACCTGCTGGTTCTCTCCATCACTGTCCTCGCTGGACGAACACACACTCAGACACACACTCTTCTTGCTGGTCTGTGGCATTTTCCTGTATTTGTCACCTGGACAAGGGCAGGAATTGCACCTTTGCTTCAGGGCAGATGAAGACGATGATGATGACGCTGAAGTTGTTTTGACAAATTTATATTTCTGAGGAGGCTTTTTTGAGGGCATGCCATTGACCTGTTGATTTTTTGCCTGTGTGTCTGACTTCATCAGGAAACACTGGCTTTTATCACTGTTTATTCCTGAATCTTTTCCTGTCGCTTTAACGTCAGATCCACTCCTGGTGAACTTCAGTGAACTTGGTTGTGAAGTATAATTGCATAGAGAATGTTCCTCCAGAGAGTCTAACTCACATCTTCCTTCCATTGGAACCACACCACTGTGTGTGTGCTGGTTTATAGATTTGGCTGCATTTTTCATGAGCACTCTGTCCCTTAGAGAGGACTCTGTTAAAGACTGCTCTGCAGCAGGTCTGGTGTTTGCAGGCCTGACGTCCAACTCAGTGTCTTCACACTTTGTTTGTGTGACGTAATGGTCATTGGACAACTGAGGCCTGGACTCTGAGTTGTCATTTTTAGACACTTGTGGCGCTGGGGAGGATGTGAAGGACATGGCATTCCAGTCAATATCGCTCAGATGTAGAGCTTCAATGACAGCAGAGACAGATGGTGAGGTTGTGGTTTCTGAGTCTGGATTAAACAGAGGAGTGGTGGGAAGATCGTCCAGACCGCCCCGGTCTGCGTTGGAGTTTATTCGCTGTCTGTGGTTCACTGGTGTGTCCACAAACAGCACCTCTGTTTTTTCTGTGCATGAATCTGCTGGGGGTGACATTTGTTTTTGAACTGTTGCGTTTGGCAAAGTCTGTAGATTCATCTGAGCCAGCAGGTCAGTGATGCCATCACACACATCGGTCGGCTGCTCTTTCTTGCGCTTGGGTTTCTTTTCTGTAAAGGAAATTAAGAAAGAAATATTTAAACTCTCAGTGGAGCTCTGCAGCAATGACCACCAGGTGGAGCAAAGTTCAACCTGCATGAAGTGACAGCTTGGGCAAGACAGACACCTCTGGGCTGCATCAAAGCCTGTGGTGTGAACAGGCTGAGCTGCCAAACTCTACATTCTGGGGTGTCAGAGCAGCTGTAATAGACAGCTTTGAAAAACAAGCCAACGCTTTAGGTGTCTCTGATCAAAAGAGCCTGGAGAGGCCGACTCTGGAGCCCTCTATCCTGTTGTTTTTGTGATACAATGTGAAATGTTATTTCCATTTCCTGTCAGAGATGGTTAACATACCAAACAATCACAGACAAGCGAACAGTTTTAGACAGGCATGCTTCTTCATTCAGAGTGACAGTAAATAGTTTTACTTTTTAACTTGTTTTCTTCAGCTAGAGCTTTTTCTCGCAGGTAGTGCTCCACCACTTCTGGGAAGGCCACACTAAAGAGGGTCTCTTCCTCCACGGTCCGCACCTCATGTTGATCCTCTGCAGGATGATCCTCAGGAAACACGTAATGTTCTGCAGGAAAAAGTCAAGGACCAACGTGAAAAGCTTCCCTCTATTTTCATTGATTTGCTTTCTAAAAATCCATCTTTAACGAATATTAGCTTGCAATTCTGACTGGAGAGTCGAGTGTTTATTTAGGTAATTCAGTTTAGTTTCTTTTTTACCAAGCCATGCATTTGTGACTGAAAACTTTTGCTTCAATCAAAGCTTTAATGATTACAAACTGAAATCATTTAAAAAAAAAATTCATGATGCAGCCATGTTATGTCTGTTATGCAAGACCCCCAGAGTTATTAGCTGATTGAGGTTTTCTCAGGTCTACCAGATCAGACGGCCTTGTTAGTAACACAGACTGTGACATGACAGATTTCTCAGCCTTGGGAGGAAGCCACTTTAGCACCTAGTGGTTGTTGTGACTGATCTACCACCTCTGAAGCCCACCTCACAGCCAGTCACTAACAGACAACCCGGTGACGAGCACCCCGCACCCCAGTCTTAATGCCCCCCAATGCAGCAGTTGTGCTCCTCAACTCAAATGATGTTTTGTTTGTTACACAGTTTCCTCTCTATAAAAGACATGATGATGTGCTCTTTACAGGATGCTGACTGACCTGGTTTACTCCAGATGACTTCGAAGCAGG